GGTAAAATAAAAAGCTAATCACTCCACCTGTCTCTCTCAAGCTAATAAATTATTGTTATATGAAATCAACTAATTCCAGCAGTCAGCCCTTCCAAGGCTACAGTGTCAATAAACTCTGTTTTCAAAAAGTCAAGCAAAGGTAGCCCTCAATCAACTTCAATTCAACATTTATCATGTATTTTAGAGATCATCAATCAATCATTCATATATATATTTATATATATATATTATTTTTTAACTCTTTCAACTGACTCAAAATTTTAAAAGTTTGGTCTTCTGGAAGCCAATGATGTGCACACAGTTCCTCAAGGGAGACAATCTAAACCCTCCAATTTTTTTTCAAGTGGAATCTTTAAATATTAATAATTCAGAAACCAAAAGAGGGAACCCCCAGCAACTGAAGATGAGCTATAAATAATTTGGCCCTCAATCAGACTGGAGCACTTCAATATCCTGGAGCTTGCTTTAACAGAAGGTTCTTTCCTGGAAACTGTACAGCAAGATAGTAAATGTCACCCTCGCTCAGACCAGAGGAACCATATCCAAATTCTCCGCCTTGCAATAAAGGTGCTGGCCAGCCATACAAAATGCTGTCGCGAAATCTTGATGAAGCAGCAGGATATGGCTGAGACAATACCCAGACTCGAATCTGTAAACATTATGAAATAGTTTCCTTTCCAATTTCTTGCCTGGGTTTGCCTCTCTTCCCCCACCCCAACTTCCCCAGCAGTCTCCAAACTCATAATACAAACTTGAGCAAACCAGGCTGGATTAGAGGCTGACCCTGCTGCCATAAGCCAACTTATACGGAACCCAGACAGATCCATCAGAAACAGTCCGAATCTTCTCTGTCCACCTCGGGATTGACTGGCCCAGTCCATGAACCTCAGGAGCTAGTCAATTCAGACTCTGAGGATCTTAAGAAAGGTCCCTTTGCAGAAAGCCACCAACCCAGAGGGCTGAAATGGATTAAAACATTATCTCCAGCAATATATCTGTCTTTCACACACCCCTCTCAAAGCCTGTGGAAGGCAATTAAAAGTGGTCCATGTGCATCAGTCTTTCT